TTCAAAGTAAAAAAAAGAAAGAAAATATTCTACACAATAATAGAATAGTAGCTTGCTTGTTAATTAGATAAAAAAATAGGATGCAATCATGTCACTTTTTATAAAAAAATAACAAATATAAAATAATAATAGTAATAACATAAGACAACAAAGAATAGCAATAATCAAATTATAATTGCATTGCTATCCATTACTTAGTAAAAGATATGATGAAATGAAAGGGAAGAAGAGAAGGAAGAAGGTGTAATAGATGTCCGTATAACTTAAGTAAATGAAGTAATTAAAAGTAATCAAAATATAATAGAAAGATACTATCTTCTTTTTAAAGCTTTAAGAAAGTCTTTTAGATGTAGATTAGATATTGAGACTTTTATAAATATGCCATATAGCTACTAAGACTTGTTCTAAAAGTTTTTATTTTAAAAAAATTGCATTCAAAACAACTTGCAACTTGATGCTTAAGCCACAAGCCTTATAATCTTTAGAAAGCTAATATTAGACTTTTTTTCTAGCTAGTATATATAAATGTAAGACCAAGACCATCATTAGTCATATCAATGTTTTTCTTGTATTTCAATCTTAGTTCAAGGCTCTCTAATCTCTTTGTATTTGATAAGAGTCATTCTAGTTCTTTTCTATCTTTTTAATTATTTCTTCTTTCTTCACTTTCTCTCCTTTTTAGTGATACAAAAGTATATTATCTTTTGGATTTTTTTCAGATTCATATCCTTAAAATAAATAAATAAAGAAAAATACACATATACATACACAAAAACTAAAAACTAAAAATTAAATATTGCAGCTTATGTGGTATTTGCTTTATCTCTAATACAAGCTTTTTCTTAAGCTATACATGCTTTTGCACCATCTTTACTATTTTAAATGATTAGCAATAAGATCTAACACTATAGTGTTTTTCTATCTAATATGATTAGAAATATGAAAATTTAAAGAATAGTGCATAAAAGAAGATTGTTGTCATATTGCTAAACATACATATGTATCAACTATTGTAACTATTGCTGCATCAAAAATTGACACACCATGAGTTCAACTTCCAAATAAAAGTTCTAGCACTTTAGAATTGTAATAAATGGCATTGTGGTTGGGATAGATAAAATAAAAATAATAGTAATAATAGTAGAGGCTTTATAGAGCTTCTACAAATTCTATTACTATGAATATATTTTCTAATACCTTATAACTAAGCTTTGTATTCTTTTCTTTCAAATTACCAATTGTCACTAAGATGATGAAAACTATATAGTAATTAAAATAAAAAAAAGTATTATACTAGCTTTGTAGTTTTATTGTATCTTTGCCTTTGGATTGCATCCTGTAGAGATTAGATGTTGGTTTGCAAGTTTTTACTATAGCCTCCATTTTTAGTTCCCCTATTCTATTGTTTTCTCATCTCTAACTTATTCTAGTGTTAGCTTTGTTGCAAAGAAGACCTTATGTATTATTTATACTCTCAATTCTAATCTCTATTTAAAAATATGGCTTTGCCACCTTTTTGCAAGCTTTATCTATTAATCCTATATCTTCTTTTATTACTATTATTTAAAAAAAAGAAGATATAAAATAGTTTTATATAATTTTAAAACTTAAAGATGATTTAATTTAAGTAGTTCATGTTTTGGAAGAGCTAAAAACTTGTTAAGATAATAGTATATTTTTTATAATTTTAAAAAAATATAGTTTTAGATGATATTATATTACTATTGTATTTTTTAATATTATATAAATAGGCATATAAAAAATTACATCTATGTCTATAAATCATGGATATATTGGCATAATAATTTTTCAAAATAAGTTGGATATAAAATAAATTTTTTAAAAATAATTATTAATTTTTTATCTTATTTAGTCCATGTGACTTATCTAAAAAGATAATCTAAAAATGGATATATACCAAACTTATAGTAGAAAGAACCTACAAAGAGCATCTACAAAAGGCACCAAGAATAAGTATCAAAAAAATGGGTTTTAATAAAGAAAAAATGCCAACCTTCAATAAAAATATAACTTGCTAAAATTATAATCAAACTAAGTGCATAAGGTTTTTTTTTTGGAAAATATTTTTATTTGAAAGAAAAAAGATCTTATATATTTAATTTGTATAAGTTTTAAATAAATTGTAGTTTTTTAAAAGTTGGCACCTCTTTTTATTGATGCTTTGTGTATTGCCTTCTATAGATTTATTTGAGTTTTAAGTGCTACACTATGCTTGCTTTCTTAGGTGCATCCCTTATTCAATGTAAATGCAATGTGGATTCTTTATAGCAACCCAAAGGCATCCTTTATAGACCAAAGTAAGTTTAGAATTTAATATTAAAATTTATCACATAATACTCTTATTTCTTGGAATTTTATCAATGTATTCACATTTTAATCTTTCTAAGATACTCATATTTTTTCCTCTTCTTCTAGTTCTTCTACTTACTTTAGAATTTAACAAAAACAAGACTAGTCAAATGTTAAGTAAACAATATTTTCTAGTAAAATAATTCATCTCCTCCAATTCATTCATCAAGTCAATAGTATGTGCCCAAAAAAAGGGGGAAACTGCTGGCTTTTCCAAGAAGGAGCCCAGCACTGGTGACAGGATCTTCTACAATGGTACACAACAGAAAAACCTTATAGCCTGTGATGCTACCATTATTCATAAAAACACTAAACTGCCAAATCATCCCCCATTCTATTCATTGTGCACAATGGGAGCTGGATGAAACAAGGGAGAGGAACACAGTCAACACTCTGCAGCGACCGATCCACTCCCACATTTGTCTACGATGCCTGATTGAAAAAACTGGGGCAGCAAAGATTTACTCCCCACAAGGTTTTACAGCATCGACGTCTAATATACACAGGACTAGCAAGTGGAATCCGGAGGGGTACTGTTGAAGGGTCAGGCGGATTCTTTATGTGGGCATGGAGTAGCCTTGAAGATTCCTTGTCTCCAAGGACATGCCATTGCAATGCTCCATAAGACCACACTGACATACCCTGCCAATTACTTGATCATCTCACGCGCTAGTGCTCGAGGAGGAAAACGCACAAGCGCAGAGAATGAGGTCGGGGGGTTTGAATCTCGGCTCTGAGGCCGTTTGGATGGCACCCACGGGGTATAATTACCGCGGTTGACCACACTGGCTGCGTCAGGGGATCGTCAGTGACCTGGGATCAGATGATCCAGACTGCACCCACTGCGATCATGGCCCCCATTCATGACGGACCATTACCGGGCTCTAGCACTTGTACACACGCTGATGGGGGGTGTGGTGATGGTGCTGCTGCTGCTGCGCAATACGTAATGAGAATCTTGGAGGAGTTTAGCAATCTTACAGCAGATTAGGACCAGCTTCGCCAGCCGACCTTCTGAGAGGTGTCAGGGCGGAGAGGACGTATGCACTAACCATTGCAGCTGGAATGTAGGGTCTGTAACATTGTACCCGTACGCATGATGATAATGGTCGGTCGCAAGACGACTTCACAACATGTGCGGGAAGCGCCTGGATTGGTTGCACCCCTGGACGGCAGTTGACCTTCTACATCCAGTACTCGCGGCACTGCAGTAGCCGACCGTTCGATCTCGCCCACATCCACGCGTATGAAGTGGATATCGATCCAGTTCACATCACGGTGTTATCATTCGGACACTCGAAGTACCGGTATGGAAGAAGTATGAGAATACTCTTTCTTTCCAATGTTGTATGTATGGCATTCAGTTTGTGTAAGGATTTAGACTCTCGCCCTACAATATCTGACAGGGTCTGTTTCGGGTCTGTTTGTGGCAAAGGGATTGGTGCAGTGGAAATTTCAGATCTGGAATGTTTTGTCTAACCCTTCCTTGACTTCGTGGCACACTAACTTTTGCCTGCCCACGGTGTTGTAATTTCGTACCAATTTTCTGAAGTGGTACCAAGTACTATCACGAAGTTGTGCTGTGTACTCGCTCGTCGCGGTGCCAGTATTCTGGGGTATCATGGAAGCAGAGAATCTCGGAGCAGAACAACTACTGGGGATCAAAGCTAACTATACCGATCCCTGGACACTGGTAGTTAATAGAGTGCGAGTAGTACATAACCACTATAGCTCACTAGCCGACTGTTGAAACTCCATATCTCATGACATAACAAGTTTTTCATTCTGCACGTCGTTACAGGGTTGACGGGCATGCAGAAATGGAATTCCCCTACGCCATTTCGCTACCTGTTGTATTCGCAGCAATCAGTAACTGTATATCTTCACAAGCATCACTAGCGTTGAGTTGCGAAACTCTAACAAGCACAAGGTCATTCCACTCGGTAGCACAGCAATTTCACTTGAAAGCCATTCTCATATACTACAAACGTCCACGTGATGCCCAAGTCCTCGGGTTCAGAGGACAGATACCCGCGTCTCACGAGTCAGGATGCACGAGGGCGCTGCTGCACAGCATGCATAATCATTGCTCCTCGCAGTGATTCACATGACACTACTCCGCACTGGTGTCTGTGACAAATGCATGATATTTCTCGGTTGATCCGCATCAACTACCATGTTCTGAACAGGTCATGATCATATTCAGTTTGCAGATAGGATCTCGTCAGCACGCCTGAAAGGCGGAAACCATTTGAAAAGGTTGAGGGAAATTGTGACTCAAGGAACCGTTAACAGAAGTGCGTGCTCACGGTCAAGGTATGCATTGCACATCGACAGAGAGCTCGGGGACAGGAACAGTCTACACGAACTGGAAGGTCATAACTAGACGTTTGAATGCATCAGAGCAAGCTGGCAAATCATGCAATGGCTTTTCTCAGTCGGCTTTTCCCACATGCCACAAGAGACACGAGGTGGTTGCTGAGAACTTAGAATTCGGTCTCCAATCCACGGCTCTCAGTCTGTGCAACATGGTGGAAAACTGGTCACATCACAATGAGTAACGAATTGCGGCAATCAAAAAATCTCAAACTGAAACCCACATGTGAAACCAAACGAGACACGACGCTTGATATCCCTAAACTGACATTATTGCTTTATGTACTTAGCGAACTGGAATCGAAGTTTAAACAGAAGAAAACAAAAAAGCTCCTAAATTACGATCGAGGAATGGTGTAAATTCTACTCACGGAACCATGAGTTCCTAATCCCAAAAATGAGCCGATTTATATCTACACTCTTCAATGGCTATCAACGTAACCAATGCTGTGTAACTGAGTGCTCGGCCTCGGCCTGAACAAGTGTTCAGATCTTGCGTCGCGATTCGGAGGTGCCTGAGTTAGGTACCCATTTCAACCACTTGGAAATGTCGTTGAAATGTCGTTATGCGGCCCGTCTGTTCTGTACAGTTGCTAGGGCAACAACAGTGGTGAATTATCCTGCTGCCGTTGTGATTAGCTCAGCCCATGGGGTGCGTGCCTACGATGTGATGTAACATGCTAACCTCTGATCTACTGCTCCTCAATTCTTTTCTCAATGTTGTACAAGTGTACACTGCCACCACAACCAGCACAACTCAAACTTGAAGTTGCAATTCCGCCATCTTCGCTCGCCAAGTGAATTGCACTACAATGTATTGGTGGTGACCCATTCATCCGTTCTCGCTTGAATCTGTGCCGAAATCTTTAATCACTGCACACATCGCAATCGCTGCAGATGAGTGGACGCCCAGGCCATGTTCAACCGCACAGATGTGACGATCTAGATCCTCAATCACGGCAACAATCCGACGAACCATGATGCAAGTGTTGGCACTAGCTGTGCACTCATGAGGACACGGATGTGGATCCATACCAGGAGCTAAATCGACTGATCAAAGAAAGCGCCGCCTTGAAACGACTGGTGGACGGCGCTCAATCTGCAATACTGCTGCTGGTGCATTAAATCATACAAGCCCCCTCCTGAGAAGGCGCCTCCGAGAGAACTCGAAAATGGAACATCGGACAGAAGCGAGGGGCCGAGAGCCGTCTCCACAGTGTCCACCTCAAAACTAGGAAAGCTGTTGTCCATCACAGGCGGCAGCTGCAACGCGTTGTCCAGCATTCCCACGGAACCATGAGAGCTGGGATGGGAGAAAGTGGGCGACGAGACGGGGAAGCTGGGCTGAACCATGTCCGACACGAGGGACCCAAAGAATGGAGCTGGGATCGCGCCCAAGGAATAGTGCGCCTGGGTGCCTTGCAAGTAAGTGCAAGAGGGGAAGGTGAAATCTGAGGGGCTGGACAGGTCTGCAGTGTCGTTGCTGGTGTTGCTTTCCATGCTGAATGTAGTTGACTCTCCACTATTGGAGCGATGCAAATGATCGGTACCGCAAGCATCGACTACGAGTCTCTGCAGAACTTCCTTCTGGGCGGTTTCCTGGTCCCACTGCGGCTGCCCAGCTAGACTAGCGCAACCTTGCGAGGCTGCCATCAATGCACAATCTTGTTCGGCAACCACATCGCTGACCGTCTTCGTGCGTGCTCTTCGTTGCGACTTCCTAGTGCTCTTCCCTGTTAGTTTCTGTACCGTAGACCTGAAATTTGCCACGTCCGTCTTGATGATTTTAGGAGCAAAAATGTGTATCACCCGAATAGTGGGTGCTTGCATGGCTTGCGTGCCGGCCGCCTGCCAGTCGCGTCTGAATGGAGCTCCTCCGCCGACGGCCGGCTTCCCCACATTATGAGAGTCCTTGCTTACGCTTAGCATCTCCATTGAACTGCTCTTGGAGTTGAACTGTTTGGGCGAGCCTTGGCTGTCGATGGCCTGGTACGGTGCCATGGTTTTCGAGAAGCAGGGGGGAAAAAGTTTCCGATGGTTATGGCTTCTGTGTAGAAAACTGATTGCACGTACTTGCTAATTAACTTGCGGATGTGAGATACCTTGGCAGAAAGTTTGAAGAAGAGCTCTTTCCTTGGATTAAGCGTCTATGTTGGGGTGTAGACCTTAGCGCTATCGGGGCGGTAGTCTCAGCAACATATTATCAACTTCTGGTATGCAAATTGGAGTCTCAGATTGCCTGGTTCCAGCGACCTGCATGTAGGATCTATGACTAAGAAAGTTGACAGAAAAAATAGGGGTATTACGGTTGCGCGCGGCTATACTGCACTCCCGGAGATAATTGAAAACACCTTTCGTCGGCGAACTGTGGATGATCTTTGAAGGAACTTAGGACCCATACATTGACTAAACCAAATTTGTGTCTAGAATCACCATAGCCTGCTCAAGTTGCTGAAACTGTTGTTGTGTTAGCGGCAACACCAATTACGTCACTTCTAACCAAAGTATGAGCTGGCCCGTGCGGTATCATGCACTGGAAATAGAGAGTACTCCGAGGGTTCCTTAGCCGTCTGCCTGCAGATCTGTGTCGTGGAAACCGACGTTGGCACACACAGCAGCCAACTCTACCGGACACGACAGATTAGTAAGTTCCAGGGTAGAACAAGTAGTCCTCTACAAACGAGGCTAAGGATGTCAGGCGATGGTTTCGCAGAGTCACAACCAAGCTTTGGTCAGCCGAAATAAGGTAACGAGTCTTCAGCGTCTAAGGTTTGACAGTGGTTGCGATCTCTTCGCTAGACAGAGGGAAGCGATGACGACGATATCAACCCCAGCACACGGGTTCTGATACAAACATAAAACGTCTACAGATGAGAAAGGCCTCCAGGGAGTCCAACTTGTAAGTGGTGATTGTTGAGCAGGGGAGGTGGTAATGCATGCAGCGGCAGACGGGTGCAGCGGGGAGGCTCTCTCAGACGATTGTTAGACGATGGAATGGACTCGTTTCTGGTGCTTCTGAAACAATTTCATCTCTTTGCTTCCGACCTGTGGCCCCACCTCCAGTGCCGCACCTGCAGCTGCGAACCTGAGCGATCTCGACGTGGGACCCAACTGCCCTCAAACCTTTTCTTTCTTTCTTTCTTTCTTTCTTTCTTTCTGGTCGCAATATTTCTTTAACATCTGCCACGAACTCAACTGATCTCATCATCATCAGGTCTTTACACATTGGGGTCGTCTCGGCTCTGTACCACAGTGCGGTAATGTTCCTGCATTCCAAGTGGGTCCAATGTTCGTCCATCCCCCCTTCATCACTGCCCAAAAGTGCAGTCTGTTACCCTAAAAGTGAATCCCCTTAGATTACTTTCTCAAAGCGAAACTTCTTCTTTTAAAAAAAGAAGAAAACAATAACAATAAACCAAGTCACTTTTCATTTCTCATATCTCTACAGTCCAGGCTCCAAATGGCAGTTGTCTCATGACATGACCCACCCTACCACTACACGGAACTACGATAAAATCTTCAAAAAAAAAAAAAAAAAAAAAAAAAAACTCGTTTATTATCACCGCTCTGTTTCCAAAATAAGCTCCGTCTCAGGAAACGTACTTCATCTCCACGAATCACACAATTTCAGGGTCTCGAATCCTACAACCACGGGGAACTGTGGCAAAAACCGGCTCCCCTTCAGAGCGTCATGCCTTCCTTTATGTTGCGTTCGTCTGCTGGATGATTGATCGCTGCGATTAATCTTGCAGCCAAGGGAAGTTGCGGATCCTTCCAGGTTCCTTTTGCCGCAAGTTGGTCCGGAAATTCTCTTTCCGGAACCCCTGACACCCTACCCGAAGCAATCGTCCCACGCGGGGGCGGCAAGAGAACCTAAGCTGCATGCCTCCGTTTGGCTGCCCAGCCCGGGCACAACGCAGCAGAGCGCCCCCCACCGACTCGGTACAGCGAGATTGAGGTGCGATGATGCCCCGGGTGCCCGCCAGCTGCACTGCCCGTAGAGGGGGGGTGCCGGTTTTTTCCAAATTTAGGCCTACGATGGGCGATCGAGGACCCTTTGACTCGTTGCCGCTTTTCTTACTGCGCTTCCTAAAGAAGACCTTCCTAATAGCCCACCATCACGTTAATCCATGTGGATTTATCAAATACAATCACCAGGGCAGGTTTAGAGTGGTAATATATATGCATATATTTATTTATTTATTTATTCACGGCGACAGTGCCAAGGGTACAGCTTTACTGGCGACGCCGTAATCCATCTGTGGGTCGTCAGTTTTCGCACTGAGCTTAAAATTTTGTCAATGTTACTGTTGGATTTTGTTTCTAGGTTTTTTTTGTTTTAAAATATTTATTTTTTAAATCGAGTTACCTTTGATTTGTTCAACCGTCTGCTCGTTAAAATCAACATCACGTAAATGAAGCAAGAATTTGATTTGATTGTGTTTTCTGCACGCAGAATATTTGAAAATGTTATATTACAGCGGGTTTCCATGTATTCTATATTGAACAAAGTCCAAATTTCGATTGGTTAGTTCCTATCCCCTAGAATCAACTCCGATTTGAGTCTGTGCACTCACAAACTCCCCCTGCATTATTTTCATTGAATATTTTCACTCAATGCATGGGAGGCAGCCTTGCACACACAACACACGAAGCTATGTTTTATTCAACCAGCAGAGATCGTAAGAACGTAATACTGGATTTTATTCTGTCACACTGAGGAAGCAAACCAAAAAAAGAAAAAAAAAAAGAAAAAAACACTTCTACGAGTTTAAATGAACTGTGGAAAAGGCAATTCTTTTTTAAGTTTCTTATCGACCTAAAAGAGGCGTTTCAAAACGCCAACAATGCGAAATCTTTTTCGTGAGAGCGACCGAGAGTTCCACACACAGTTGAAAATTGCGCAAGGTGCAGCAGTGGTTGCGATGGAATCCTAATTTTCCGAAAAAAGCCAGACTTGGAGGAGGGGATTGCCACTTTCTCGAGGTCTGAGCTTTGCACCCAGTTTCCTGAACACTGCATCGCCATGGTAAAAAGCCTCTTGTCCACATCCTCACTCACCTCCCGGTTTTCTGTTCATCTTGGGCATAATCTAGTGCTAATCGCAGCGACACGGAGACACACAGACACGGGATGCAGCTGTCCAACATGCTGGCAGGGTTCTCCTCAACTTCTTACGATCATCGAGTCGGTTGAAGTTTTCTCACATCGCTATAAGTGGATTGTACGCAATCTCCGAAGGGGTTAAATTTAGGTGATATGATCGACGGTGCCATTGAAGCGTGGTGAATCCTGTCCATGACCACCACGGAGTCTTCCCCTCTGGGAGAATCGACAGCAAGTCAAACTGCGATCTGAGGAGGTCATGCATTTATGAGCTACGGTAAGCACCTCCACAAGAGAATTTTCTTACGCGAGTAAATTTAGACTCGCTAAAAACAAACCAAACCGCCCAGGCGTTTTTAGAGCGCGGATTCGGGGACGGGTGGCAGAAATAGCCCAACAGGTTTCAGCGTAAGCGGCGAAACAGTAGGAGCTGACACTCCAGGCGAGTTATAATAAACCTCTAGTAAAGTGAATGATTGGGAGCTTTTGGGAGGCCACATACCGTCGCTAAAAGTGCATCTCCCCAATTCCGCTCTTCTTGCATCTTCACCGAACATACCATGCGACGCTTGCTTTTCTTGCTACTAATCACCCTCATTAACCAAATTAAACACATTAAGTCTGTATCGCTAATAATGGTCCTGACAGCCAGTGTTTATTGTTCACATAAAGAGTTTGACTGTAACCACTTACTGTTTGTGTGGTAAATTCTGAAATGTGTGTGTGTGTGTGCGTGTGAACAGTTCATCCTGGAATTCCATTTCACAGTCGTAAACATTCTTCGAGCTGTAGCGTTGTTCATGCAAAATCATTCGCTTCGTCGTGGCTTCAAAAGTTTTCCACAGTTGCAAAACACCAGGCATACCTGCTCTGCACTAATTCCACAAATCAGCAAGTAGGATAAAAATAGGCCATGTTCCTATCTGAGAGGTTGTTGAAACCCTTGATTCCCAGCCTCTATATTCGACGTTTCTCGGTGACTAAAGAAGTAGCTCACTCTATCGGTAAGGAGCCCATGTTGTTTCTGCCCATCAAAATTGGGACAACTGAGGGTTCCGTGTGCAAGCCATAGATGGGTTTCTGTATTTGCGAACATGGATCAGAAAACTACCAAGTTCAAAACTCGCCGTCCTGATATTTCATTCTGACTATCCTTGTATATTTTGTTTTTATTTGTGTATTTGTTTATTTATTTCTCTATCTCTGTTTCGGAAACATCATATTTCATCATAACCCGATTTGTACTTTTTTGAATAAATTGTAAAAGATGCTTTGTCAAATAGGTTCATTGTCCCACCCCATTTTCCTCATCCCGGGAATCCGTGCGTTGAAGTGAAGGCCGCGACACGAGATAAGAAGCCGGAATCCGTGAATCGAAGCGAAAGGCACGGGGGGTGTGGGTGGGGGATCAGAAGCCGCCTACCTCTGTGGGAGCAAACGCATTTCATTTCCCATTTCCCATTTCTTTCAATCAATCAATCAATCAATCAATCAACTAATCCAACCCCCCTACAACCACAACATCCGTGAGAAAGGGTGAGAGAGAGAGAGAGAGAGAGAGCCATAGTCGTCTCTCTAGGCTTGTAAGTACCACGCACAGCCTTTTGACTTGCAATGAAGGCTCTCTTTTGGAACCCAGCAACCTCTCCAGCCAGTTCCATGAAGAAAAAGAAAAAACAAAACCTCCGGTGCAAATCCGTCGAAGCTGGGCTCGGATTCCAAAAGTGGCCATAGGGTTCTCGCCGCCTGGGAATTCCCCCCCCGGGACGCCCTTCCAATCCTCGGGTCCCACTGCAAAATTCGCCATCGCTTTTGGCGCTCCTTGCGACGCAGTCTCACTCCGCTCGAAGCTCCATTGCTTCTCCTCTTACCCCCCAACAAACGCTCTCTCTCTCGCTTACTTGCTCACTCACTCACTCACAAACATTGGGTTCTCAGCAACGGAACCCACAGCGCAAATTGCAAATCGCAAATCGCTGACCAAATCTTCTATGGCCGAGAACTGTGAAAGAAGCTGCGGGACGCACAGTTGTGGATGAATGACCGAAGGATGATAATCACGCAATGGTAGGATGAACGGATATCTAATTATATTCGGATGCCCCATTCCTCACTGACCCATTGTATCGTTGGAATATATCAAAATTATGTTACACGATGGAATGGTCTTCTGGTGTGTGGGCACCTCGAATATTGCATATATACCATGTGTGTTATGTTGGGGAGATTTTAGACAAATTGGCCGATATTAGCGGATACATGCATAATACTAGTTCCCCCATTTTGTCACCCCCCCCCTCTTTCCCTCTAATCTTTGTCGCAAAAGGAATATTATTAATCAACTCTTTTTTTCTTTTTTCTTTTTTCTTTTTCCTTTTTTTTTTTTTTTTTTTAGTCTGGGGGGGGGATATGGTGACCACAATGTGGTGGAAAATAGTGGGGGCAGAAAGGCAAGGGGGGACCCCATTTCCTCCTTGTACTATGGACGAGGGTCTGCTGTTCCCATTGCAATTGCTACCAGAAAATGGGTTCCCAAATGCTGAAACCCTAAAAAAAACATCCTGTTTCCCTCTCTGGAAACTTAGCCATTCCATGGTTTCAGATGCTTTTGGATGCTTTCTCAATGCCTTCCGGATGCTTCCAACTCTGCTCATAGTAAGCCCTTCAAACATTGCACATACACATCATTCAATCTCCACCAAGGTCATATTATCTCTTTCTACTTTTCTCTATCTTCTTCATCTTCATCTTTTATTAGAATTGACATTGGACTATTATGGTGTTGGTTTCTCGTTCTTTTTCTTTTAGCCTGTGTCCAAAAGTCCCCATTGAGAGGGGGTCATGTCACCCAAGCCAAGAGGAAAAGTCAGTGGAAGTGAAAGGAACACATGAGGGCGGTGGTGGTGGTGAAGGGTGGCGAAGTGTGTGTGGGATGGGATGGAGAGAGGAGCATATGAAAGCGTTGGGTAACGTGAAATAGGGTTAGAATGGTGCCGACCCCCCTTTCTCCTACTCCTCCTACTACTTGTTGTTGATGTGGTTGTTATTCTTCTTCTTGCTTTGGTCGGCTACACATGTCGTGCTCCTCACATAATCCATGCAAATGCGTCACTCTCACCCACCCCTATGGTGTGACATGGCAAAACAAAACACAAGTGCCTCCCACGATCTCACCCCACCTTCCATTAGCATGTGAGGATCATAGCCAATTGATTAAAATCATAAGAATAATCATAATCATAAAACATCAAATTTAAAGACACAAAAATATTTGGTGTGGATCAATTGGGTGGATAAAAATAGTTCAGAACATGTTACAACTTTTGGACAAGCATTTATGTACCAAGTTGAAATTGAAAGTATACACATTTATATGTATATTTATATATATATATATATGGCTGACTCCTAAATGTGTTTGGTTTGAGTAACCTTTTTCTTTAAATCATTGTCATTCTCTATTTATTTACTTTAATGTGATCCAGTTTATTCTTTGAAATAATAAATAAATGAGAAACAATTCAATATTGCATCTGAAAATCATACTTTACTGAACTTTTATGCTTAAATGTATTTTTTTAATGTTGTATTTTTCAATAACTTTCTCCTTTGTAAATTTAGGACAGTCACTCTCAAAAAAATTATAAGATTTTGTTGTTATAAGAAATCACAGCACCATATTGTATTCTCAAATGTTGTATATTAATTCACTTCCATATCAAATGAATAAATAAAATACAGAAACTAATTTATTATTATTATTATTATATGCACATACATACAATTGATAAATTTCAGGTTTAAATGATTCAAAATTAATTAAGTTGATAATACTGGAAATTCACAATAAAACAAGTCATTGAAATTTTATTGCGAAATATCATGGTTTTAAAGTGAAATAATGAAAGAAATCAGATGCAACATATGTATATATATATATATATATATATGTATGTAATTCTGCTACAATCCTATCTTATATTCAATCTCAAGATATTGATTTATTCTAGCCAATAACTATCAATTAAAAAAATTATCACAAAAAAAGTCAAATAGTTGAAACCAACACCACTAATGCCATCATGACAATATTAAAAATATTTTCTTCAAATTTATATTATTCTTTTATAAGGTTCAAAGTTGCAAGTCAATTTTGATAATGGTAAAGTGAAAAGAAAAATAAATAAATTATATAGAACTTAACATTATATCTGTGTCCTTGTATTTTTGTCTGTTTGTATGATAAACAATTTAGTAGATAATTTGAATATAAATTTTCTTTTACAGTAGAATATATATCTATTGGATAATAAATAACACACTGAAGTAATACTCTATGATGATTAATTTGTATTGTGAAAGAAACATATTTAGAAATTATAAATAATTCAAAACTTATCATGTAGATTTTATGGATAATAACTAAACGAGGCACTGATTAAGATTGGACATCTTAAAAAATTAAAGTTTAGAATCATATAAAAAATAATAATTAAAGGATGAATTGTATTTGATAGAAACAAATTTTAAACGCCTCTACTTAAAATGTCTCTTCTTAAAACTATCAAGGAAAAAACCTTGAATGTGATACATAGGAATTTTCACAATTATATTTAGTTATTTATATTTAAATTACAAATCAAAAGAATCCATATCTGTTTGAATTCCTTAAAATAAAATAAAATAAAATACATAAAAAATAGTGGTTAAAAATAATTAACATAATCTTCTCACAAAATTCCAAAAGTTTAAAAAAGTATCTTATACTAGTAATTTATTAAATATATATATATATATATATATATGATGTTTTTTTTTAGTGTAAAGAATTAACAATGAGGAAATAAAATTACTTGAGAAACACAAAAATAAGCTTCAAAAAGAAAATAAGGTTTCTAATATGTTTTAGAATAGATTTAAGTTAGCACAATTGAATTTTGAGAAGAAAAAAGTACATACAAAAATTCTATCAATTCCAAAGAATTTAATGAATTACTAAAATAGTAAATTTTATTTTAAAAAAATAATTGGTTACTTTTTATATTTCCACAAGGTCCTAGAAATACTTTTTAAATCATAAAATAATGTGGTTTGTAGAAGGAAAATTACTATTTTAGATTTTTTCTGTTTTAAAAAGATAAAAATGTGTTACGATCACTTAACAATTAAAAACAGATATTATTTTAAGACTATTTTTTGTTTTCTATTTTTAGAGAAGTTGAAAAGTGCTTGAAAACATGAATAAAGTTGCTTAAAGTAGAATATGGTAACATTGTATATAATTCTATCTTACAATATTCATAGGAGTAAAAAAAATCTTCAATTTTTGGTGAATAAAAAAACAAAAAATTAAATAATAGAAAAAATGCCAGATTTTTCCTACTAAATATTAATGTAATTAGTCTTTATAAAAAATAAAAAAATGAAAAAATCTTCTGTTTCTTTGTTTAAAATGATGATCTACCATACTCAACTTGGCAATAAAGTATACAATTAACATTGAACTACTTATACATTTAATTGTCAATCCAACAAACATCATAACAGCCAAAAATTTATTATACATATAATTGTATTTTAAAACCAGTAGTAAAAATTTACAAACGATTTTTTAATCAATCTGTATAAATTCGACTTTTATGTTATCTTCCATGGACAAATCTGTATTATTTTCAGGATCTTGATCAAATTAATAAAAAGATCGTTCAAGTTGAAGCGACTAAACATCCTTTTGAAACAGAATAAACAACTAGTTTGTGCATGCAATAGATAATGCTGATTTGTGCTTTAAAGTCGTAATAATTCATTAATTTTAATTTTTTTTCCTTAAATATATAATGGCACACAACATTGGGTCGTTGACTTTTGCATCATAAATTATCCCGAACATCACCAGCAAGCACAGAATATATATATATATATATATATATATATATATGTCTACAATATTTTATTCAAAAAAATTAAACGCTTCAGACGAGAATATTAAATAATATATTTGTGGTATGAAAATATACTCACATATGTTTATACAAATTTACTAAATATTAAAGCCCATAAATTCTGCTAGAGTGATGTTTATTATAGTGTATTAAAAATTGATAATGTCTCACAATTGTGGGACTTTATCAAACACAAGAAGAATATATATATATATATATATATATAGATTAGAAGTTTGTTGAGATCAACATATTTACTAAAAATGCAGTATTTATTTATTTTTATTACAAATCATTAGATTTTATATTGAGAAAATTGAGGTAAAAATCAATTAAAGATTTAAATCAATGGAATTTGAATTGGTTTCGTGGGCACCAAGCAACTAAAGAGCTGTCAAGAATAAATCATTTTTCTACCTCATTTCTATTATGTTTCAACTGATCATAAAATTAACTAAACATTTATTTCATTTATTTCTTTCGGGTGCTTTGTAAAGCATGCTGAATTCTTTTCACTCTAAAAGAAAACATTGCATGAAACTAACCACAACTATTCAGAACACAAACAAAGTTTAATCTGAGGCATGACCTAGTTGTCATTGAGCTCCTTGAGATCAACAACTTCTCCAATGAAATAAAAGCACAAATCATAGGAGATTTATCTTTAGCAATCTTATTGAACAATATTTGGACATTCACAAGTGGTGACAAAACAAAACACTATCAAAAAAACAAAAACAAAAAACAAAAAAACAAAAGATAAGCATCCAATAACAAGAAATTGCAAATATAAACACATAACTTGGTGTAGAGCTTGATGCCGAAACATGGGGATGTTTTCATGAGGCAAAAATTGTAAGGAGGTTTGGACCAAGGGGACCATGAAGTTCAACTCCACTCCACTAATGAACTCAATTATTTTGGTTTATCTCCATATGAAATAAACAATAGCATTTTCCTTCTTCCTTCTTTCCTTCTTTCCTTCTTTCCTTTATTTATTTATTTATTTATTTATTTATTTTCATTTTTTCTTTTTGCCACTTTCTTATAGAGGGAGTGTGTGTGCTTTTTTTTTCCCTTCTCCTTTCCATCCATAGAAAGGAGTGCCGCAACCACGAGGTTGTGAAGCTCCCAAATGGATTGCTACTTATAGAGAGGTTGATAACCACGAACCTAATATCCCAGCATCATGGGTCACGTGCAAGTGGGTTGGGCATGCAAAGGATCGCCAATTAGTGGACACCCTTCACACTAGCCCCACCAAAAATTAAAAAAACAAGAACAAAAATAAAATCTTCTCCTTCTTCTTCTTCTTCCCTCCTTCCTCTCAATTGAGCCCTCTTTCCAAGACAAAACCCTTGCACCAACAAACATAGACACACAACTCCATCACACCTCAAACATGCAGGTAGTTGAAAGACAAAAAGGCAAAAGAAAGAAATATATATACATTGAAGGAAACAGAAACGTAAGAAGAAGAAAACGAAAAGGAGAAGAAGAAGAAGGAGAAGAAGAAGAAGATAAGAGGTAACCCAACCTAATGATCTTCACTTCTGCAGATGCCCAGAAACTATCTGTTTCACATCAGTGTTTAAGTCTTCACCGGAAATAAATGTTTGCCAATTTGATGTCACCAGGGGAAACGGGGGAATGATGCCAAGTATGCACCTCAGTGCTTTTGCTGTAAAAAATTGCGTTTACATTTGAAAACATAATCTTTGTTTTTTCATCCTAACTCCTTAACAACTCCAACAACAAATATACATATATATATATATATATCAGTACGGAGAGAGAGGGGTGGTGATAAATATACCTTAGTCATAGAGAACAAGGAGAACTCTGACTTGATGCTGCTTAAGCAAAAAGGTGTGACACATCATGAAAGCCCTTTGCTTTGTGCCATAAGAGCCAGAGAGGATTTTATTTTATTTATTATTGAGGGAAAGATTTAACATATGGTGTGTGTGTGTGTGTGTGTATTTATTTATTTATTCATTTATTTTCATTTTCATTTTGCTATTAAACGTGCCATATGTTGAAGTCTACTCTGTCACTGTCTGTGAATTACAGGGGGTTAGTTGAACGCCACTTGGCCCTTGCTCCATGGGCGTCCATTTGGTAACCCACCTAAGCAAAAACATTTATTGGCTTGAAATTTAAGTTCATTGAGTGATTTGTTCATTTGTTTATATATCCCAACCCGAGTGGAATCTAATGACAGTATCAGAGCAGATCATCTTCTCACTGACAAATTTATTGAGTGTGTGAAGAGCAACAGAAGAGGGGGAATCTTTTCAATTCAGGAGCATCAGAGCAGTGACAAAGCATTTCCATGGCCATTGCAGCAGCAATTCTTTTTTCTGCATATACTCTGGAGACCTACTCCATCATCAACCCAGCTCAGGGTTTTTCAGGTTTAATGTTGAATAAAAACTCCGAGGACAGATGGGTTGATTGATGTGTGTGCTTTGGTGCTCTAATTCCCACCATGGAAATTGGATTCTCTCACATCTGGGGGCTGCCAAAATATCAAAACCTAACCTAACCTAACCTAAATCCAGCTTTTTATCTGTAATTTTTTTTTTTTTTTTCTTTTCGAATCTCACACGGACATATTCAAATCTGAATCAGTAATCAGTAGAAACGAGTATGAGGAATAATCCATTTGGAATAAAGCCAGTCGTAAATGCTTCAGAATGGAAAAAGATTGGAATAAAGCCAGTCGTAAATGCTTCAGAATGGAAAAAGATTGGCATTTAAGGCAGTTTTTTTTTTCTTCATCCTTTTAAAATTTTTAAAATTTTTTATTTAAAATTTCTTTGTGGCGCTTCTTCCGTTTCCAGTGATGAATGGATTGCTAGATATGAAAGAGCTGCCACCCCCATTTGCCAATGGGAAATCTGCCACTCTGAACACGGGGTTAGTTGTGAGGAAATTCTCTACCACTTGTTTAATTTTCTCTAGGTTTTCTAAATTTATTTATTTATTTATTTTATCCATTTATCGCTGATAGTGGGTGTGAGTGACCCTCTCTCTCATGTGCGGAGCAAATTTAGCTTTGCTTTTGTAGACATATGTGAGTAGATTAGGAGATGGGCCCATCCATGGGCTTGATTGCTTGATTGCATGGGGATGGATGCCAAATGAATGTGTGACAAGGCCGGCCTACTACACGTTACACTTCAGGTAGTTAGCTGCTTCTCATTCTCTTATCTAGTTTTTTTTTTTTTTTTTTTTCTTTCTTTCTTTCTTTCTTTCTTTCTTTCGTTCTTTAATTATTCATTCATTTTTATTTTTTTTTAAAGGTTTTCTGCCCCCTCGTGTTGCCTTATTTCCTGGTCCATGAGAGAAAGGCCACCAACAAAAGGTTCCTGATTCTTTTGCTGCATCTGTTGACCATTGCAACACCAATGCCAATGGGATTAGTCCAAGCCTGCCTGCAACAATGAGGAGGTTTACTTCCTTTCCTATTCATTTCTTCTTGACTTTTAAATTTAATTTATTTTTCATTAATCTTCCTCCTTTGGTGCCCAAATACACAGATTTCATGTATCTGGGGGCCATGAAGCACAACTTCCCAAGCATAACAATCCTCAAAATGACCTCCCTCATCAAACTAGTGTTGCTGTACTACAAAATGGTGGATTGGTGTTTCCTTGCAGAAATCAGGGCCTCTCCAATACTTTCCTTCCTGATAAGTGTTAAGCAAAGGTGAGGAGAGAAATATGTACACACACACACACACACACACACACATACACACATTTGTGATGCCCTGCAAAGGCCCACCCTTGGGTGTTGAACAACTGCATTTGTTGGACTTGGATTCTCTCATCCATTTAAAAGAATTAAAAAAGAAAGAGGGAAGACAGAAAAAAAAAAAAAAAAAAAAAAAAAAACTTTGAACCCTAACTTGTTAGGAGCTGTGTGGCCATTTGATAAACAGGAGGGTTCCTACCATTTCACAATCATTCAAACATGTCTGAGCTTTTAAGAACTTCTCCTCTTTAAGGTTTTGAAGCATGTGATTAATACTTGTCCTCTGCTGTCAGGCAAGGGCTAGCTGTATTTTAAGGGCAACTTATCACTTCTGCATTTTTTCTTTGCAATGGGCAAGATAGCTCTACATAACATGAGGGAAATAAATACATAAATAAATAAATTAAACTTAAAGAAAAGGGGAATGAAAGATTGTGGTTGACAATTTGAGTTGTACAAAGTAGGTCAAGATATGCAGCAACACATAGTTTTAGGGTTTGCCACCATTAGACAATACCTGCATGTGTGTGTGTGTGGACAGTTCACAGAGAAGATTGTACACTGACCTCTACAGTGAAAAGGGCGGAGGTGTGTCAGGCTTTTAAAACAGAAAACCTTGCAGTCCAGAACAACCTTATGAGGAACTAATGACAGGTTCTGCATCAGTATTTCGTCACCTTATTCAGTAATTAAAAATGACTAACACCACTAGATCAAAATAAATGAATAAATAAGACATAGGAGAGAATGCCCTGTATTTTACTCAAAAGCTTAATCTTGATAGATACCAAATTTAGAATCACATTGTGGCCTTCATGTGTATTATTAGGATTAGGGTTTGATCTGATTGAAGGTACCTCACGGGAGAAAATAAATACGCTAGATTGGGGGTCAACCCAGAAGATTTGAGACTACAGTAGCTGGGGTAGAATTCGAAGGCACTTAGATTACCTACTTAAAGCCCGCTACAATTTGATGTTCACACTATAGACAAAAAAGCATTGCTCCAGGAGCAGACAGCTTGTCAGAATTTGCCTGCAAAATGGAGGACGAAGCTACACACTTTCGTGAGGCCCGTCTTTGGCTTTCATCATTCACTCTGCTTTTGTGTAAGGCATGTTGCTTGTCTGCCCAGTGCGGGGACCATGGTGCCAACAACACAGTATATTGGTTGATTAGAAGCAAATAGAGGTAAAAAACCATGGAAATTTCCTCAAACTCACACTGTGCTTTGTGATAAGATAAACAGTTTCCAAAGCATACATCAGTACCACTACAGTTTCACACCGACTCAGTAAAGTTTTTAATTCCATTATTATTGTGGGAGGAAAGTTTGGATCTCTATTTGTCCCCTCCTCTCACATGCCTAGCTAGGTCCTTCCTTCAAACCCTATACCCCAAATTATTATTATTATTATTATTATTATTGTTTTTGTTGTTGTTATTATTTCCTTTCTGTCTTTGTCTCTCAATTTGGATATTCATTTTGTTGCAGAACTTGGCTCTCGTTCCATCTATCTGAGGGAAGTTTGTTGAAACCAACATAGATGTAGACTGTAGCAGCAGCAAAAATAATATTAATGTATGTATTATGTCAATACACATTCTATAAAGCTCTCAACAATATGAAAAAAATGAAAAAACGAAAAACAGAGAAGAAGAGAAAGTTACATCAACAAGTTATATACAAACAAGCTATGATGTAGAACTACATTATTCAAAATGAAACAAAGCCCCAAGCATATGTCCACAACCCAAAAAATAAAAATAAAAATAAAATAAAATAAATCACATGCACTGAAACTTCTACGCTTATTTAACATTTAGTGCTTAATTCATAAACATTACAAATCAAAATTGTTTGTTTTGTACAAGGGTAAGTGTAAATAACATAGATTATCATTCCTTGAGTCCATTACTCATTCATCCACCAGGGGCGGGACAGGAGTTGTGTGACCCCATTTTTTCTTTTTCTTTTTCTGGTCATGTCATTTATTCATCACCATTGAAATCATGAAAGTAGACTTGCAAGGTTAGGCAAAGTAGAAGACTAGCTAGGGCATAGAAATAGAAGCTGTGTATTATAGGTTTGCCAGTTCACTGTGAAGGAGACCCATTCCATGTTGTGGTCAGTTTTCAGGATGATGGTGAAGTAGACCTCATTTTCCTACTCCACCTTTGTTAGAGATAAAAGTGGTGGATTGCTTGATAACGCTATAGATATATATATATATATATATATCTGGGGAGAGGGTCGTACCCAAGGTGGGAAAGGAGCCTTCTAATAGGGCTTCTGAGGCTCTGAATCAAAGTACTCATCTGACTCTCACTCTCTTTCTCTTCTATTGGATGCCATGCACTTCTCTGTCAAGCCACTCCTGTTTTTGAACTAAAGTGTCCTGCCCATCCATCCATCCATCCATCCATCCATCCCGTCGGTGGTGCTTTCCTGGCCATCAAAAGTTTTCATTCATTCTATCCACATTGCAATCAACATAAGAGCCCTGGGATTGTTCTCATTGAAACCAAAACTGTTTAAAAATCTCAGTGTAAATAGAGATGGTGTTACAGAGGTTATAACACCAACTGGGAAGTGACACAACTCCCTCCTACATCTAAGTCTTTCACTATAGACCCCCCCCCCCCCATGATCTTGTATTCTGTTACTATTATTGTTACATGGGAAAAGTTAGCCTGGGAAGTGAAGTTGGGCACCTGCCTTGTTTTATATTTGTGCCACATTGAGAAGGAAGGAGACAAGGAATGCCACTGTGACACTCTACCTTGGTGGGGAAAATGGAGTGGGCATGTGTGTGGTGAAGTTGGGGGAGATGGGGCAAAGGGGGGATTGGTTGTATGGAAATGGTCTCTCGTGGGTTATCCTATGCCCTTGTCGTTGGCCACCCTTTCTCCCTCCCCTTCCCCCTTTTTCCTTTGGTTTTGTGGGGCGGGGGTGGTGTGAGTAGTAGTGTTGAGGAATATTGTATCATGGCACCGTCCAAAAAGAATGAGAGAGTGGGGGGTGGTGGTGGTGGTGGGGGTGCCCTCCTCTTGGTGGCCCCCATCCTCTCCCCCAGTATGCCCATGCCCACTCACTTACTCCTCCTCCTCTCTCATCTTTCTTCCCCCTCTTACTTGTAACTATAATTGTGTGTGTGTGTGCTTGTGTGTGAGAGAGATCCTCATCATGGTATGGTGAGGCCGGAGAGCCTCCCATCTAGTAGTAGAGGTAGTAGTAGTAGAGGTGGTATTATTATTCATTCCATGAAAGCTGAAATATGGAGGGGTGGAGGAAGGGATCAACCCAAATCTCTTACAATTCCATCCCAGCTAAATTGCATTGGAATTGATGGGTTGAATTAAATTGCATTCCATGGGCATAATCACAATGGCTGTTGTTGAAAAACAATTGGGATTAAAAGAAAGAGAGTAGAATAATAATACTAATAAAGATTTTTTGAAAAATAAATAAAAATCAACAGTTGGCTAGCACCTTGGTTCAAGAAGATCTAGGGCTGTCTTGCACACATTCTATGATTGTTACTAAAACTATTAAATTGCCAAAAATTCATATTCTTATAATACAGAAGGATAGGTAATGGTTGAGAAAGGCTGGTAAGGCACTGACATTACAGGTTTATTATCTGTGTGAATGGAAAGATATGAATGGAAAGAAAAGAAAAGCAAGTAACATCACATTTTTCTTTATCTACTCTCTTGCATCTTATTATTATTATATTAAAAAAAATGACTCACAAGGTAAAATGAAGTGTGTGAATGCAATAAGGGAGAAAAGAGTAATGTTGCTGCTGCCACACCTACAGCTTCATCTTCCTTTCCTTGATGATGTTGTTTTTTGTCTTTCATTTCATTTGTAGTTTTCCTTGTTATTCAAGCAAAAATAAAGTATCACAAGTCAATGATAATGTTGGAAGTGAGGACAGTAGGATGAAGATATGAGGATATAGCAGCATCTGAGTGGAATCATAATAATAAGCAGCAGTC